TATTGTCGGAGTGAGGGCCTGGTGGAGATTCGCTCTATACAGAAGTTCCGGCAGTGTCCATTGTTTCCTGTTTAGCCCTCCCCCACTACCAGTGTGCAGACACAGCATCACCATAGCCTTGATATCATCAAACTGGATAACAAAGGTCGCTCTGCCCAGAGGATTCCCTGAAACCCTGCTTACCCCAACTCACAGCTCCACCCAAGCCATATCCAGGTATATCGTCACTGAGTTAGGTGTTCCTTGCTGAGCAGCGCCTAGACTCACACTGGAGGCAGCTGTCCTTGGTTTCTGGTGTGTGTTCCTTGTGAGCAGCGCCTAGACTCACACTGGAGGCAGCTGTCCTTGGTTTCTGGTGTGGCCTTTTGAGGCAACTGTAAGGACAGCATCTGTGGATTGCTTGCAGAATCTTAACAGGTAGCTCCAGAGGGGTAGAGGCTTGGGCTAAATTTGGCCTGCAGCTGAACCCCTCTCAAGATTGTGTCACTGGACACCTACTTCACAAATCTATAATAATAAGGCTGGGAGACTTAGGAGCTTTGTTTAGTACATAGAAACAGACACAGAAAGGCAGCCAAAATGGGAAGACAAAGAAGTAGAAACCATATGAGAGAACAGAAGAGAGATCCAGATATAACGGAGTCAAGTAATCTAACAGATGCAGAGTTCAAAACACTGGTTATAAAGATGCTCAAAACTTTTTCGGAGTGTAGAGAACTCCAACAAAGAAATAAAAAACATAAAAAATGGAAATGGAAATTATAAAAGGGAACCAGTCTGAAATGAATCTGAGATGAGAAGTAAATTAAATGGAATAAACAAAGGAATAAACAAAGTGAATAAAGAAGAGGTTCAAATGCCCTATCTAGAGGACAAGAAAGCCAAGGACATTCAATCATAATGGCAAGAGATAAGATGCCAAGACTATAAAAATAATTCAAGGAGCACGTGGGACATTATTAAGGGTCAAAATATACGTTTGATTGGACTAATGGAAGAAATTAAAAATGTTGAATAGCTGTTTGAAGAAATAATGATGGAAAACTTGCCTAATTTGGTGAAGGAAATGGACATGAAACCCCAGGAAGCTCAGAGAATTCCCAAAATTAGGGATCCAAAGAGGCCCACATCAAGACACATCATAATTAAAATGCCAAAGGTTAAATACAAAGAATATTAAAGCAACGAGAGAAAAACAAATAACTGCTTATAAGGGAACACACATAAGACTGGCAGCTGATTTCTCAAAAGAAACTATGCGGGACAGAAGGGCTTGGCACAAAATATTCGATATGATGAAGAATTACGATCTACAATCAAGAATACTTTATCCAGCAAGCTATCA